CCTGTGTATAAATCACTGTAGTTCTAATCAGATGACTTTAGGGCAATGTGCAGGCTTGAGACAGTAAAAAAGCTTTCAGTTTTCTTAGTCTATCATCTTAGCAGGAGACAGTTTTTCAAACAGAGGGGATGTGAACTCATGTTTCAAGAATCTTAAGGTATGAGCTTGAGCCTTAAGACTCACTGCCATGTAGCCATTATAAGAGTTGCATTCTACAGTGCAGGACTTGGAAAAAAATTGTGGATTTGTTCCACAATTTTCAGTAAAAGTCACTAACAAGAGTCCATACCATTGGCTGATAAATCCGTTTCAAATTCCTTCATTTGTCCTTGTATTAATTGAAGGTTAGGGCTGAAGCAAGATAAAGTAGTTTCTACATGGGTCATCTGTAATCTTGCACATTTTTACTATGAGTTTTGTTGGTATATTCCTATTCTCAGGCCATTCTTCAAGTGCATGACAAAGAAGTGCTTGCATCACAGCTACTTGTGCTGACAGGCCAGAGACTGGCCTATGCTTTACTACACACACAGACGAAAGAAGGCATGGAGCTGCTGGCCAGACTTCCTCCGACACTATGTACCTGGCTTAAAGCTATGGTAGGTTCAGCCTAAATGAGAAAATAAATTTATAGAAAGCTTCCTTTTGACCAAAGACTTTTATTACTTTTAAAAATTAACATTTTTAGTAATGCTCTAGTGTAAAGTTTGAGTCCAAGCCTACCTGACTTCAGTTCTGGTTAATAGGAACAAGACAGCCCAGCATGATCAACTATCTCGTCATCTCTGCTCCATTCTACATTTTCTAAAAAGCCACACAACTTCAGTGTTACAGGTTGCAGTCAATTCAGAGGATAGAGTGAATATCTTGATTGGTTTAAAATGTGAATGTATTGCAGAAATGCCTCTTTTCACTGCTAGATTTTATTGGGAATCCTTTTACCAGCACTTGAAGGGGAGTAAATTGTTCAGGTGCATGTAAACAATTGCATATTTGCTGCTCTTGAGGACAAGATGGGTAGGAGTCCAAAAATGTCCCTTTCCAAAAGTTTAAATAATTTATCTTCACTTTAATGGATGTGTCCCCACCTCCCCCGTGAAACTATCATATTATTACTCATGTTTTAAACCATGGGACTGCTTTACTGTGTAATTATTGGCAGTATGCTCAACTGCTTGTAGCTGATCTTCCTTTAGTCTGGGGGCAAGACTAACTTGTGCTAAATCTGTGAAACAATTCAAGAAGTTGTAGAATGAAGCTTCTTTCAGAGGAAATAAATTGAGTTTTCTGCTGTGCACTAGTGAGTGGCATGGTTCTCTTGAGTGGTGCCAGAGTGTGATCTAAGAAGCATTCATATAAACTGCAGCATTATGTTGTATAGAAGACTCATGTCCTCCTGAATAGTGTTCCCTGTATGAGTTTCTGTAAGTTTAAAGACTGTACTGTGGGTAGCATTTATCCTAGTGAAAGTCAGGATCCTGTACAGAACTTTTCAACTTTTGATTCAGATCAAAGGAATCTGACCGTAGCAAAGGAGTTCTCTGCAGTCCTCTGTTTCCCTGAATGTACAGTTCAAAGGGGGGTGGATGATACAAGAATAGCTGTGTTGACTTCAAACTAGTACTGGATACATCATATTTAGGCTTCATTGTACTGGGCTTAAATCCCCCACTGCTTACTTAACTCTGCTGTGATCTAGAGATGAGCTCAGACACCCATTTACAATTACAAGCAAACTTCATTGTGGCCTTTTCTTTCTAACACTTTTTAAAAATCCTTTTGCAGGACCCACACGATCTTCAAAATGTCGAAGTGCCAATTGCAACAACAGCGAAACTCGTAAACAAAGTAATAGAGCACTTACCGGAAAACCACGGGCAATATAGCCTTGCCTTGAATCTGATCGAGGCTGTAGAAGCAATCTCTTCATGACAATTTACGTACTAGTTTTAAACACTTCTGCTGTAAGATGAGGTAGTGCATGATTTTACACACTGAGGCTGACCTTTGTAAAGGGAAACATTCATGTGGCTTTTGTAAAATAAACTAATTTAAAAAGCAAATGCTTTTACAATGGAGTCTATCTAAGTTCCACCCTATTGTGCATAATATATTAGGAGCTAGTAATCTTTGTACATTTGTCAATAACTCAAGTGCTCCACTATTTATTTCTAACTCAAGCACTTCTGCTCTAGCTTAAATAGATTGTTACATTTAACAGCAGTTTTATTCCACTTATTTACAAATTATATTCTTACCCTAACATGTGAGATTCTATATTTCATACTCTGAAAAAACGTTAAATGTATTTTCCATATATGCTTGGTTATTGGACAACAGTCAGTTGCATAAATCTGTATCATGTAAGGAAAAATGTTAGGCTATCATGTTTTTCTGAAATAAAAATGGTCGTGTTTAATTTCCATAAAAGAGTTCTATTCTGAAGGGCCCCTAGTAGTTAATCTTCAGAGGAGCCAGAGTTGATGGAGGGGCTCACTTCCTGTAACAGCAGTACAAAACACCTTGCATTCTCAATGAGGATAAAATTAGAAAGAGGAACGCACCCATCAAAGTTCAGGTATTGGGGAAGAATACTCTTAAGACCATCAATGTAGAAACAAACATCACTTTACCAATAAGGCCTCACCCAAACAAGATTGGAGCGTAAGTTTCCTAGTGCGGCTGTTATGGAAATCCTGGTGAAGTTAGGACTCCAGGATCAAGCCCCTGGTCTTAATACTTCACTTGCTTAAATGAGTTATTTAGAACACACTCTTTCTGGTAAGAGTAGAACTACACCATGGGATAATGCACCCTCTGGGGTGTGATTTCTAAAGTGCATTAACGTGTGATACATTAAAACAGCATTATGTTAAAATGTGCTAGGGAACTTCTAGTGGGTACCAGCAGGGTCGATACAGACCAATTAAAGTATAAGATGTTAACATGCTTTAGAAATCATACCCTTGTAGTGTGCATTATTGCCCACTATGCTGAAGATCTGTAATACAGAAAACCTGCGTTTTACAAAACCTTGTGTGTTCTTCGTAGTACAGTGCCACAGGATATCTGTATTAGGAAGCCAGAATCCTTAAGTTTTGGGTGGTATTTTTCAAGCCATCAGAAGCAGACCACCATTCTTATCTTACAGCAGCTGAGTATCCCTGTTGTCCTCTGATATACATGTTTTCTGTGAACATCAGGACTGGAAGTATGATTCTCACCAATTCCTGGCTTGAGCCTGTATCAGTTATAATGGAAACAGCTAGCTGACTCCTGTAACTTGCACCTGTCTGCAATTGTTAACTATACACAGAATCATAAATCTACCTTATTATATAAAGGAATTTGGTGATAACAATAGGACATAGGATTTACCAGTACTAGAAGTAACCTACTCAGTAGTGATTACCTTCTCTGAGGTGTGCTGCTGTTATCAGGGAACTACTGTTAAAACAGGAACAAGAACAGTTTGTGGAGGTGGGGATTGCCACTCCCTTGTAGAATGACAAGCTACAAGAAGGGTTCACTTGAAATAAACACTTTTAAAGTGACAGACAGTCTGAAGTTTACTTATTCAGTATTCTTGGCTCTTAATGTACAGAAATCAGTTTACAATGCTACTTCACCTCTAGCAATATGGAGGCTTTTTGAAAAACACAGCATTCTGTTTTGCATTTTAAAGAATATAGCTATAATTCATTTACGCCTATTGCTGTTGTATGACATTATGGTTACCATGAAGGGTATTGTGCTAGTGAAAGCAAATAATGGCCAGTACCTGCCAACTTTATAGACTGATTCAGTATATTGACAAGCTAAATACTGGTAAGAGACATGTGGCTGTCTGAGATGTTCTAGGGTAAGATTGTAGGGCAGTTTCCTCTGAGGCTACTGTAGGCCTTATTATATGATGCCTTGTCTAGACGCGATAAATCGACCCCCGTGCACTCCATCGACTCCTGTACTCCACCGGCACAAGAGGCGCAGGCAGAGTTGACGGGGGAGCGGCAGCAGTCGACTCAGCACGGTGAAGACACCACAGTAAGTTGATGTAAGTATGTCGACTTCAGCTACGCTATTCACGTAGATGAAGTTGCGTAACTTAGATCAATTCCGCCCCCCCGTGTAGACCAGGCCTAAGGGTTGTTTCTTGTTTACATTAAATCCCTTCGCGCTACCAGAGCAGCATGAAGGAACTTAGTGTAATTGAGAATCAAGGCCTAAGGTGTTATGTGAAACACTTTACATCAACCCTGTAATGTACTGTAAGTAATAAGATTATGTATATACTGCTATTTTCTGTGTCACTTGCTGTGGAGTTGTGTAAATCAAATAAACTTGGGATTTGATTCTAGTTTTTGCCTTCCCTGGGCATGCAGACCTGAACTATGATGTATAGTTAAATATTTTTCCTTACCCGTTACTCCAGGGTACAGAAGGTTTAGCTGAACTATGCAACTTCACAAAGTCAGTTCACACCACTATGAATAAAGTAATTTAGACTTCACTATCTTCAGTGCTAGGCAATAGCCTGCCATTTCAGTAGTTGATCTCCTCTTTTACAATAGCCATCAAGATAAGTTACCGCTGGTTTCAGAGAAAGGACTCTACTTACTTTAGACCATGTTAAATTTTGACACACACTTGTACTAGGCTGTGTTTGAAGAACAGCTTTTATTTGGCGCAAAGTTGATATAAACACAAGCATTTTTAAAGTTTTTTCCACTACTGTAGTTCTGCTTAGATTAAGGCATAAAATGCATTGCCCGTGAACTGCTACAGCTTTCTTCAGCATATACTGAGTTTTCTTTAACTCTTGCAGTTACTTTGTAGCTCAGGGGTTCCATTGGGTTAATGAAACATTGAGTTAACCGTTGTTTATAGTCCAAGTGGAAATATCTACATAATTGTCCAGCTCACTTCATTTTCCAGCCATGACTTCGGTGCAGCGTGGACATAGTGAGAGTAGAGAATCAGCAGTGTACTTCCTACAACGAAGGCATTTTGCTTTAGCAGCTGGTAGGACTATAACTTTATATGTTGACTCTTCACGAATATCACCACCTGTCAAAGAAAATTTTACTGTATAGCGTACAGTCAGCATTGAAAACCCAGCTCACACTACAGCCTCCCGCTAACTGTGTTTAGGGGGGGTTAAAATGTCTCTATTCCTTTCTATAAAGTAAAGCTAAACTCCAAGAACCACCTTTGACCAGAGTCCTAAATGCAGGTAAGAGACCAAGAAAAACTAGTGCACAGAAAGGGGCTGATCCTGCTCGGCATCAGCTCTCGGTAATAGGTAAGTTTCTAATCTAAGAGAGAGTTGTGTTTACTGGGTAGAAGCAGGCATTGGTTAGTTGTTAGTCCCTTTTTCTTACCTTCTAAGTTAATCAAAAAGGTCCCTTTAATGATCTTTTCATCTGTGGCCATTTCTATAGGTAGTTCGGACAGTAGAGTTGTCTGTGAAGCCATCATGATTTCATTTAGCTGTGATACACTGGAAGACTCCTCAGACTGCAGTGTCTGGAAAGAACAGTCGCTTTCTGAACTTAAATAGCTTAAACATTTCCAACAAATACACCGTACAATGCAGCATGGGGGTTGCAAGCTGCCTGATTCAAGTCCAGCCCTCCTGCTGGCAAAGGCTAGAGGTGTGCATGTGGCTGCAGGACATTTCAACAAACGTTACCAGCCAGAGCTTTTGTCTGAGCCACTTCTCCAGCTGCGGGAATACATCCTACTGCCAGCCAGCAGTATAACAATTATCCTCTGACCTCTCAGCTCCTGAGGTCAGGGGCATAAAACAAAATGATTGATCTTAATGCTCAGTTTTGATACCAGATTGACAATGCTGGAAATCTCTCTCCCCAGTATCATTTCAAACTTCAGCATACACCTTCCTTAAATGCCTTAGGCCCTAGCACAAATCAATCCCTTGCATTTTAAAAGCTTAGAGTTTCAGACATGGTAGTAGTTTCTCGTAGGGACACATTCATTAGTAACTGGACTGATACAACTACCAACTTCTTTCCTATAGGCTTGGCATTGACTTCAGTCATTTAGACCTGGTTTGAACAGCGGCCCAAGAAACTGAAGTGTCCAAAATCCCTTGCCTATTCCTCCTCTATCAGTTCCACATCCAGTACTGAACTGCAACCCACTAGGGAAGCCTGCATCAAACTCCTAATCATTTAAGATAGCAAGAAGTCTGGACCCTATGTCCATTTTCAGAACAGAAAATAGCCCTTTCATGTTCTGACAAGTGTGCTGACCCTGGCTCAGAAATCACATGGATTAGCTAAGTGGAACATTGTCCGTGTTGTTAGCAGTCATCTGAAAAATGCTGCAAAGGACTAGATCCATGGATTTAGGCACCTAAACTTGTCAGTAGCATGCACAAAGCTGCTTATGTCCTGATACTGCCAAGCCGCTTGGCACCTGAGTCCCAGAGATCCTCAACCTAGTTGTCCCCCCACCTGCAGGAGGAAGTCACCCTGTGCCAGGCGAGTGCCCTCACCACCAAGCTAGAGGGGAGCATGGGGTAGGTCTCAATCACTTCTGTTGAAGCTGTTCCACTTTGTGTGAAATACCTGAATATTCAATGGGTGAGGCAAAATGGTGTTATAGGCTAGCTATTAGAGCACTCACTTGAGAGATGGGAGACCTGGGTTCACGTCGCTACTTCAAGGCAGAGGGAAGATCTGAACCCAGGTATCACATCCCATCATAGGTGAATGCACTAACCAGGGAGGGAACACAGGCACCTGTCTCCACTTTTTGCAAGAAAGGGTTGACCTGACACAGGTGCCTAAGGCCAGGAGATGGCTTCCAACTGAATCCCAAGTGGTGATTGACATTTAACTCCCTTTGAGGGTGGGGCTCAGGTCACCCCCTCTCCTTAGTATTTCCACAGGCTAGCTGTCTTCTGAGCCACCTAACTCTCCCTGTGCATTGTATAGAGCACTGGGCTCCTGACTTGGGGCTGTGGATTCCACTAGACCTCAGGGCACCTCCCTGTTAAGCACTGTAACCCTGACTCCAAGTCGCCTACAGAGATCTAGCCCTAAGTGCTCAAGTAGAGTAGGAGTTATTTGTTTCTAGAATGTTAACAGGTGGGGTGGATGGGTGGGTGTTTTTCGTTTTTACCTCCATTAACTCAAAGAGCAGCCCAGGGTCGATTACAATGATGACTTCATGCTCCAAAGCATTTTTGCCAGAAATGGATCCAAGGAAAGAGTCTCTCATCGCACATGCAGCCTCCACCACTTCCTCTAGGCCAGGTTTCTTCCACACGGAGCTTGTGTTAATCCAGCCAGAATGGAAAACACTCTCCCCCTCTTGAAACAAAAACAAACATGTTCAGTGCATTGGAGTTTGTGCTGCCTACTGCTCCCTTTCCATAAAACTGTTCTGCAGCTGATTTCTTTAAATACTTATTTTTATTTGAGCTAGACAAAGGATGGCGAGGACCTTTTAATTGCAAAGTTAAAAAAATACAGATTTTTAAACAAATGCAAATTTTTGTCCCCAGTTACTATTCTAGTACAAGTTCTCTGAAATGTCAGTGTCTGGTTTCTGTGATGGAGGTGTACATGCCTTACCTTTCTTGTATGGGAGGAACTGGAAAACCTCCTCTGCCAGATGAGGAAGGACTGGTGCAAACGACCGCACCACTACATCCAAAGCCTCGGCTAAGGCTGTTTGACATGAACGACGTTTAGGATCTTTTTCTTCTTCACAATAAAGCCTGTGAGTCACAAGAGGGGAGTTTGTGAAGTTGCTTTCAGTAAGGAGAGAGAGTGAGTTCAGCCAGATACAAGATGTGTGCTAAAATCGGTCTTATTTAGGTGTTTCAAGATAGACCTAAGGGCCTAACTTTAAGCCATAATTTGTTTTTCAAAGTCTGTACATAGATTACACTGTGTTCTGCCTTTACAACAATTCTGGGTTTCAAGTTATTGTTTAAAGAGGTTTCATTTGACTGCTTTGCATTTTTAACTGGCTTTACTGAGCCAAAAGTTCTTTGTGTAGGAGGGATGATACCCTCAGAAAGCTTCAGTGTTTTGGGTCCCCAGTAGAGAGGGCCTATACCCAGCCTC